TTCTTCCAAAGGCATTCACACATACAATTATAATTTTTTAAGGGAGAAGTGGTAGAAAATGTTTCATTTTTAGTTTCCCAAATTTAAAAAAGGGTTGAAAATATGGTTTTTATGGTGATTAAACGGTGTAAAATATTGGAAGCAATTATCATAAGCTCTGGCATCTAACTATACATTCAAAACCTGTTAGAGCTCTTTTTACTTTTTCCCCATTTGAAACCCACAATCAGCAATTAAACAACCCTCACTCCTGTCAGTCCCTCCCTTCTCTTCCTTCATTTAGTTGTTTGTTTACACCTGACACATGTTTGTTTCATTTTAAAGTCTAAAACAGAATGCAGTCTTCACGAATACAGCCTCATAATGTCCCTTTTGAAACAGATCTTTTGTATGTGCAGAATTATCCATGTCCTCAGAGGTAACACTTGGGCTGTGACTGACGTTTTTCACTCTTTTGTCAGAAAATCAGCATTCTCCAGGCCCAGGCTTCTCCATAACCTACTGTTAAGAGAACTGAAGGAGTTGGCGCAGCATGTATGGGACTCCTTCATACATGGAATCCCTTCTCTTCTTGCTCCTTTTGAGAAACTCAGACATTGTTCACACACCACAGAACTCATCCTCTTAAAATGTACAGCTGAGTAATTTCCAGCACATGCACAAGGGTGCCCAGTCACTACCACCATCTAATTCCAGAACATCTCCATCACCTGAAGAACCCCGTTTCCTGTCACAGTCACCCCCCACTCCCCCCTCAGTCCCTGACAACCACTGAAAAGGCTGTAACTGTGACTATGGCTATTTCATTAGGAAAGGGCACAGGGAGATTCAATTCCTTCTCGTTCAAAGATCTCCATTCTAGTGGCTTGAAGTACAAAAAAAAATGCTTCAGCAACACGTGTCACTATGAAGTGATGAAGACAAAGAAGCATTTTCCCCTTGAATTATTTCTCCTTTTATGATAAAGCAGAAATCAAATCACACAGCCAGTGTAATCAACTCTGAACATTTGGCCATGGCATATTTCAGTCTTCTATCTCAAAATTCTGAGGCAAAAACAAAATAAAATCTAGCAACCACCAAAAAAAGATAAATGTTTTCAAAAAGGCAGTAAATTAAGTCATTAAGATGAGATAAATTCATACCAATGTGTGCTCATTTAGCTGGCAAAACTTATCAAAATAGTTCAGGTACTGAATGCATAACAGATTTTCTACAGATTTTTATCTTTTTAAAGCAACTAGATAAAATTTTACGGGAAAACTGTAGGGCTGACGCAGTTGAATATGCTTAGTGCATTCTTGATTCTAACAGCAATACTACTGTCTGGGTGTCAGCCATATTTTAAATATGAAAAGTTACTTTATTGTTACCATAATTCCAAGAGCAAAATTAAGGAATTGCTATAAATAGTGATTCTCCTTAATTGTGGATGTGCAACTGTGCACCAACCAGACACTGCTTTTTGCCACAAATCCAGCCTCTCTCCACCTCCTTGTGTAGCAGACGATACAGTCAGTACACCATCCCTATCACCTCCTAACAAACATCTTCTCAGAAGCGGCTGTAGAAGGAAAGCTTTAAACTTCTGTTTCCAGGGAGAGGGCATAACTCAGGGGTACAGCGCGTGCCTAGCACGCAAGAGGTCCTGGGTTCAATCCCCGGTACCTCCACCAAAATAAGTAAGTAAGTAAACCTAACTGCCTCCCCCTGGAAAATAAATGAAAACAAACATTAAAAAAAAACACTTCTGTTTACAAAAACAATATATACCCATTGTGGAAAATTTAGAAAATACAGAAAAATCAGAAAGAAATCTACCATTTCACGGTCTAGATTAAAACCCCTCAAATTTTCACATGGCTCTTTCCAGATTTTTTTCTACATACTGAGTTGAGTTGAGTTCTTGCTGTATATAAATTTTGCACTGCCTTTTACATTACTCCATCAGCATCTCCCCATGTCACAAGAAGTCTCTACAAACTTCTGCACGGAGTACACCACCTTCTGGATGAACGTATGGAAATTCACACACACATATTCTGATGCTGGGTATGTGAGATCTTCCCCAACAGATGATTTGTTATTCACCATGCACATGGTGCTTTCATGGACACACAACACACGCAGAGGCCACACATTTTCACGGTGGTTCCAAAGGACTTGGTTATTTCCAAATGACTGTGAGGCAGTCACCGCCAAAAACCACATTCCTGTCCGAGAAGAAATGTCACCCACATCACCGGGACTTTGGAATGAGCAAACAGTAGGTCATAAATACTTTACACCACTTAGAAAAGAAAGGCCATGCCCTTCTCAGTCAGAGGCATCCTCTCCTCAAATGTGCAGGCAGATCTCTCCCCGACCTCTCACCTCTCACCCCAGGAAAGTGAGGAAAGAAGATGCGTTCTATTTGATGGGGTCACTCTGGCAAGGGATACCTTACACGACTGGCCTTGAATTTTACCTTGAAACTGTCTTCTCAAGGCAGACCAGCATCTCACAAAGGATCCACTTGGGAAAGAAGCCAGCTCCACGCTGGTCAGACAGCAGGTCAGGACAGAGAGGAGAAGCCAAGACTCCAGGCCCACCTGCAGCCACTGACCCAGCCAAATGCATACACACAGAGACCTACCTCTCTGTCTCAGCCCAAGCGCATATTAATTTTTTAAACTAACATTAAGACAAAACTTCTCTGCCGAAAAATTTCAAAGAGTCCAAATCAAACACTAAAACAAAGCCAGCCAGAAAAAGTACATGAACTTCACCCCTGCAGAGTCTTCACTTTAAAAATGAGATTGCTTATTTCTTTACCTGACCTGCCGTTCCACTATTATCAAGCTAGTTTCGCCAAGTCGCAGACCTGCTAGTTACTCTCTCCCCCAAAAGGCCCTTTTGTTCTCAGCAAGAAATAAATGTTTTCTTCCTAAACTGGGCTCTAAGGTAATCAACATTCTTTCCTCTGGCTGCTGGGACAGAATGCTCATCCCCCTCAAGTCCTCACCTGTGGACAGCAAGCCATTTCCCAGTCACTGTGTGGAGAGGCTCCCAAGCACCTTCTGAGCTGCCCCTGAGCAAGTGAGTACAGCCTCAGATCATGGTGAGGCTGAGTGAGGGGCTGTAAGGCCTTGCCAGCCACACATCCCCATTCACGTTACAGTCCTATATTCTGTCCCGAACCCTGAGGAGCCCCAGAGCTCATGAACCTCTGAGAAGTGGGTAAGAATAATGCACTGGAAAACCTACTACTGCTTCTGACACAGGGCAGGGGGTCAAACACCTGGTGACTCTTTGTGACGTTCAGTTCCACAACAGCATTCATTCATTTTAGCAAGACGTGCAAAGCTAACACTTCTAATCCACTTCTGACTTCACTCAAGCAAAACCATCCTGCTCTGTCCAGAGTGCCCCCAAGTGCCCACGTGGAGCCCAGCAGGCCAGCAGTTCCTCACCCAAGTCCCTTGCTCTTCCTGCTTGAATGGGCTCTCCTTTGTTCGATGCTCATCTGAGCAGTGTCTTCCAACACTGAAAACCTTTTCCAGTGTTCCGGGCTCGCTCAGAGTCGCACTGCGCGTGCGATGAGGCAGACTCCTCCCTCCTACAGCCTGGCTGAGAACCAACTGCCTGAAGCTACTTGAGGTTTTAATGGCAGGAGATTGCATGTCCCAGGCGATTCTTTGTGTCCCACCAGAGATAACTGCTTAGTTGTTTCCGAAATAGTGGAAGGCAGGAAGGTAGGAGGCAAAGAAAGAAGAGGTGGTCATCTTGTTAACCGACAGAAATATCCAATCATCATACTGTGCGCCCGGGACTAACACAGTGCGAGGGTCAGTTACACATGCGTGCACGCGTCCATCCATCCACGCACGCACACGTACACCCATGCGCGCACACACACGTGCATGGTAAGTCCTAGGGATGTAATGTACTGCATGATGCCTACAGTCAACAACAGTGTATTGTATACTTGAAAGGCGCTAGCAGAGTAAATCTTAAAAGTTCTCATCCCAAGAAAAAGAACAGGTAATTATGTGAGATGACGGATGCTAACTAGGTGTGCTGTGGTGATCATTTCACAAATCCCTCCTCTGCATACCTGAAGCTCACACACCGCTGTACGTCCCTTGTACGTCAATGAGACGGGGCGGGGGTAAGATTCTAGAACATAGCCCCTCAGAGACGAAGCACCGGAGCACTTCTGTCCGCGCTCCATTTCCAGAAGTGCGTCCCCGTCCTAAGCTGGGGCACCTAGTTTTGCAGCTGCTAGAGAAAGAGATCAATTTTTCCTAGAGAAAGAGCTCAAGATCTCAGTCTACAGAAATAAACTCTTCTCCCAAGTGTCTCTTCATGGCAGAGGAAAAACATGAGCTCTTCTAGATGGTTCCCTGCTCTCCACTGACAGCCTGACCACTGCCCCTGCTCCTTTATTAACAAAGTCCTGGGCAAAAATGAGCATCTAATTCGAATAAAGCTGACCTGTGTAGAGAACTGACACTTCTGAGAGCCCTAAGTAGTTTTTAAAAAAAGAAAGTAGTATTTTTAAATGTTAGATGTCATAAAAAATTTTTTTCCAACAATGAAAAATTTACTGAAGTAGAAATTAAACATTCCCTTCTCCCTTAAATGCTCCCCTCCCCCTTAAAAATACTTCAGTAAGTTTGGCACATGCCAAACCAGATTCTTTTACCAAAATGCCAGTGTTTTTATGGTATAATGCCACTTGTTCTGTATCTTTAAAATGGGAAGTCTGAATCATTTATGTACTGATGTACACAAATGTTTAGCAGCATAAAACTCCCCACGTCCATCAATAAACACAAGGTCTTCTTCCGGGCTCATCTCCCATCTGTATTTCAAGCCATTTTCATCCCATTTCTCTGGATTCTTTGCCACGGTCCTTGTCATAGGCTCTCCCTAACCTAACCTGTTAAGAAGATAACGCGGCGGGCTTGGCCAGCTCTTGGTCACCTGTTCACCCCAAATGCCATCTGACAACTTCCCCTGTCCAAAAAACTCAAGCTGGTGAGTTCTGTCTACAGAACAGTGCAGCCAAATACCTGCGTCTCACTCTGCGCTGTCTTCTGTTTCATCCGCTCTCCATGCTCTCGGTCCCTTGCAGAGTGTCCTTTAAAACCCCGCTAAACCCAGGAAGACATCTTGTTGTCTGCCTCTGATACTCCTCTCACAGTTGTTACAGAAACCTACAGGCAATCATCTCTCCACTTCCGCTTTGGCTGTTCACATTATTTTATGTTCACAAATCATGTTGCCTTAAATTCTGTATGAATATAAATGCACCGAAATAAAACTAATTTTAAACAGTGTTTTCTTTCTTCACAGTAGTTCCCTTTGAAGATAACTATCAAAATACACACTTAATTCCTGCTATACAAATAGACAAAGGATATACAATTCAAAAATACATGGAGCTTCTCAAAAAACTAAAAACAGAATTACCCAGCAATTCCACTCCCGGGCATATATCTGAAAAAAACAAATACTAATTCAAAAAGATTCAATCACCCCAATGTTCATAGCAGCATTATTTACAATAGCTGAGATGTGGATACAACCTAAGTGTCCATCAACAGACGAACGTAAAGATCTGGTGTACATATACAATAGAATACTACTCAGCCATAAAAAAGAACTACATTTTGCCATTTGCAGCAACATGGATGGACTTGGAGGGCATATGCTAAACGAAGTAAGTCAGAGAAAGATAAATACTGTATGATATCACTTATATGTGGAACGTAAAAATACAACAAATTAGTGAACATAACAAAAAAAGAAGCAGACTCACACATACAGAGAACAAACTAGTGGTTATCAGTGATGGTGAGGGGAGAGATCAGGGAGTGGGAGGTACAAATTACTGGGTGTAAGACAGGCTCAAGGATATATCGTACAACATGGGGAATTCAGCCAATATTCTGTAGTAAGTGTAAATGAAAAGTAACCTTTAAAAAGCATTTAAAAGTTAAAAAAAAAAATATATATATATATATATATATATATATGGAGCCAAGTAATAAAGAAAAAGTGATGGAATTAGAAAATTACCCTTTGGCATCCCAATAATTATCTTAGGCAAGAATGATCAATGGATACTAAAGCTGTAGATGAAAGTCTGACGACAAACAGGATATTTACATAGTCCCAAAATATCTCCCCACAAGATGCCTACTAATTATAAAAGGGAAAAATACCAACTTTTGGAAGCAAACTGGGAAACATCTCTTTCACCAGCAAGAGTAGGAGGCAATGAGGACACATCACTCCCTTAATCCAGTCATGAGAAACAGCAAACAAGCTCAATGGAAGGACGGTACAAAATCAAAGTGTTAAGTCAGGAAGACAAGCCCACCCCGCTGATGGCCTGCTCCAGGGGAAAGGAGACAAACCAACGCAGCCTGCGACCTGGCCTGCCCTGGGACCAGGGAAAAGCTTTCTTTCTTTTGCTGTAAAGGACACCAGTAGGACAACAGGTAAAATACATGTAAGATTTACAGATTAGGTATTAGTGCTCTGTCCATCCTCATACTGATTTAAATGCTGGTATTAGGATTATAGAAGTGAATGTCCTTGTTGCTAGGAAACACAGGAACATATAGGAAATAGAGCCCCGTGCCTACAACTTACTTTCAACCAGTTCACAACGGAAACAACACGCACACACAGAAGATGAAACGAACAAGTGGCGAAGTACTAACGCATGGAAACTCTCTGCACTGGTATTTCTGGGTTCTTTTGGATTTTTCTTTTTCTTTTTCTTTAAGTATAGTCAGTTTACAGTGTTGTGTCAATTTCTGGTGTACGGCACAATGCTTCAGTCATACATGAATATACATATACTTGTTTTCATATTCTTTTTCACCACAAGCTACTACAAGATATCGAATATAGTTCCCTGTGCTGTACAGTATAAACTTGTTTATCTATTTTATGTATACCAGTCAGTATCTGCAAATCTTGAACTCCCAATTTATCCCTTCCCACCCACTTCCCCCGTGTTAACCTTGTTTGTTTTCTATGCCTGTGAGTCTGTTTCTGTTTTATAAATAAGTTCATTTGTTGTTTTTTTTTTTTTTTTGGTTCCACACGAGTGATATCATATGGTATTTTTCTTTCTCCTTCTGGCTTACTTCAGTTTTAGAATGACGATCTCCAGGTCCATCCATGTTGCAGCAAATAGCATTATTTTATTCTTTTTAATGGCTGAGTAGTATTCCACTGTATAAATATACCACAACTTCTTTATCCAGTCATCTGTCAGTGGACATTTAGGTTGTTTCCATGTCTTGGCTATTGCAAATAGTGCTACTATGAACACTGGGGTGCAGGTGTCTTTTTGAATTAAGGATCCCTCTGGATATATGCCCAGGAGTGGGATTGCCAGAACATATGGTAAGTCTATTTTTAGTCTTCTGAGGAATCTCCATACTGCTTTCCACAATGGCTGCACCAAACTGCATTCCCACCAACAGTGTAGGAGGGTTCCCTTTTCTCCACAGCCTCTCCAGCATTTATCATTTGTGGACTTTTGGATGATGGCCATTCTGACTAGTGGGAAGAGATATCTCATTGTAGTTTTGATTTGCATTTCTCTGATAATTAGTGATACTGCGCATTTTTTCATGTGCCTATTGGCCATTCATATGCCTTCACTGGAGAATTGCTTGTTTAGGTCTTCTGCCCATTTTTGTATTGGGTTGTTTTTTTTCCTTATGAAGTCGTATGAGCTGTTTATATATTCTGGAATCAAGCGCTTGTCAGTCTCATCTTTTGCAAATATTTTCTCCCATTCCATAGGTTGTCATTTTATTTTGCTTAAGGTTTTTCTTTGTTGTACAAAAGCTTGTAAGTTTAATTGGGTCCCGCTTGTTTATTTTTGCTTTTATTTCTGTTGCTTGGGTAGACTGCTCTAGGAGGACATTGCTGATCGGCTATTTCCTTGAGGTATAATTGATATAAAACACTGAATTAGTTTCAGGTGTACAACACACAGATTCGGTGTCTGTATACACTACAATGATCACCACAATAAGTCTAGTTAACATCCATCACTGCATACAGTTACAGAATTTAAGGTTTACTCTCTCACCAACTTTCAAATTGTAGCATAGTATTACTAACTTCATCCTGCCAAATGCCACATCCCTCAGACTTATTTATTTTGAAGCCAGAAGCTTGTACTTTTTGACCCCTTCACTCATTCTGCTCACCCCTAGCCCCAGCCTCAGGCCCCCACCGATCTGTTCTCTACATCTGTGAGCTTGACTTGTTTTGTTCAATTCAGATTCCACATATAAGTGAAATCATACAGTGTGTATCTGTCTTCTTTTGTCTCACTTAGTTCATTCAGCATAATGTCCTCACAGTCCATCTATGTTACAAATGACAAGATTTCATTTATTTCTATAATGAATAATATTCCAGTAGATATGTGTGTGTAAATATCTTCTTTATCCATTCATCAGTGATGGACACTTAGGTTGCTTCCATATCTTAACTGTAAATAATGCTTCTTTGCACTGTTTTCTGAAGCTTTCCTACAGGACTATTTTCCAATATAAAGTTTAAAAAGTGTGTATTTTCATGATTCTATTAGAACCAATCTTTTTTAAATACAGACCTTAAGTATTTTTTTATTAAAGTACAAAATGAGGTACTGATCTCTCACTCAGGACCCAGTCTCCTAAAGTCATCATTGTGAACTGTGGGGTATATTCTTACACTCTTTTCTTTCCGCTCTGCTGAATACGCTATTAACATTGTGGCAACATTATAAAAGTTTCTTCACGTCCATCAAGTGGTTCCCAGCTGTAGAATGAGGCTAATCACAGGGTTATGCAGGGCGCATCCCTCCCGGGGAAGAAGACCAGGCCTCGAGCTGGTAAACGTGAGCACACAGCAGCTCCCCACATCCACCTCAGGGTTAGCACCAGAATCCCACCCCTGCTGGTTCTTTCTCCTTTTGCTTTGACATTCAATTTACGGTTTCTACTATCATGTGTATTCTTACTTAAATTTTAGCTTTCTGAAATAAGGCAAAGCATTAGTGAAACCCTCCTACCACAGGGGTCCTTCCACCAGTATTTACACTCTCCTTCCAAGTCCCGCCCATTGCTCTGCTCAGGGCTTTATTATTATCACAGTTCAAGGAGTCAGATCTCATTACAAAAGACCCCAGGCCTCTGTTCCAGGGTCCAGGCACGCAAACACAGGCCCACAAGAAAGTCACTTTCCACAGGCCTTGTTATCATTTGACCCAACAAACACGTAACTGCCTTGTCTAACTTCTACTGGCCACACAGTACACACCTAGCACTACTGGCCCCCATGTACCAACAACGCTATGCAGCAGGTATCATCAGCCCTGTGTTACAGGTGAGTAAAGTTACTTGCTCAACAGTTTAAGTGGAAGAGCCAGACAGGAATCCTGACTACACTCCAATCTGAATTATCTCCAGTACACTTTGCTGTCTTTGCATAAACATACACATGTATTTATAAAGAAATGCCATTAGATTACACACATTAAGGACACCACTGTTATGTCACAAGCCACATACATTTTCTTGAAATAACTTCTCCTGAGGTTGTTGGTTTTGTTTTTGCTTGCTTTGGCTTAGTACTGCTCACTGTAGCTTTCCTACTTACAAGAGAGGCCCTTGTCTTTTTAAATTATACCCAGAAAAATTCACTTCTTGCAACCAACAGGCTAACCCTGCAGGGCAAAGCTGGAAAGAGTGACCAGCCCTGAAAGGACTGATTCCTTGACAGCAGCAGCAAGCAGACAGCCAGAAAAGAAAGAGAAGTCACTTATCTGAAACCAGTCCTCTTTCCTGGCTCTCCTCACAAGTTCACAAGGTGGGAATAACAACCTCAATGAAAGCCAAGGTTCTGGAGATAAAGGGAAATGCAAGGAACCTCCTTATCTCTCCAGACCTTCCCCTCCAACCCAGAAAGGGCTCCTGACCGGGGCAGGGGTGACTCTGTGCTCTCAAAAGAAGCTGAAGGAGAGCCTGACCCTCTCCCAGCCTATACAGAGACCCGGAAGGGGACCGGCAGGAAGGGATGAGGCTTCTCTGCACCCTTTGCACTCATTCCCTTGGACTCTTCACGGCCCTCTGTTCAACTCTGCTCTCCAGCCAGGCCTCTCCAACCAAGCACACTGTAACATTTTTGATTCTGGACATTTCGGCATTTCCAGACACTCCTAGGATGCAGCTCAACAGGTATTATTTCCTATCCTACTCTGCGCACTGTCCTCTTATCTGCCTGGCCAATCCCTCCTTAGACACTGAAGACCTAGCGGTCTAGGGCGGGGACGAGGAAGCCCTCGGGTAATCAGGAACCTAAAAACTTCAAATACAGCACCAGGATGGAATCCACACAGATCAGATCTAGACAGAGCTGGGCTGCCCAGGCACTGTCCAGACACGGTGAGGGAAGGGACCAGCCTGTCTTTCCCCAAGGGACACCCAGCCCCCAGTGCCATACCCAGCACACGGCAAGTGCTTAGTTTACTGTTGCATAAATACCTCGGTTTAAGTCCCAGAAACCTTAATTACTAGCTCATTGCCTTAAACAAGTTACTTGATTTGAGCATCTATCTCCTCATCTGTTAAACAGTATCTCATAGAGTAATAGTAAGTTAAAAATGAACACACATTTAGCACAATTTCTGGTACACAGTAAAGTCCCATAACCATGGGCCACGATTATTATTCTACAATATTAAATACGAGTCCACAATCACTTCTCCAAAACTCTGGCGGCCAGGTGTGTTTTGGCATACAGAATTTTCACCCTGTAGAAAGACAGAAATAGTGCACACAGTTTCAGACAAACAGATACGGACAGAAATATTCCCTTGAGCAGAAGCTGGGCAGCAATCCACAAACAAATACATCAACATTTTTTTCAGCAAAACACGCCCTAAGCAGTAGCCTCATATCAGTTTACTTCAGGTTCAGTGAAAAATGAAAACCCCTATGTTGTGGATTCGGGACCCACACGCGGTCCCCACCAGGATGCTGTTCCCACCGAGCCTGCTGAGTGTGCGAGTGACGCCCGTGACGCCTGCACTGTGTGAACGGGGGAGCCGGGAAAGTCTCATCGATTCCCTGTGGCTGCCATGGCCCAGGGAGCCGGCTCTCACATCCCATCCCTTCTCACCTGGGGTGGGGGGGGGAATGAGCAACAGGAGGTGTATCTGGAGTTGACTCTATCACCTTTCTTCTTCGCCAAGTTTTAATCAAGAAAACCAGGAAGATGACACTAGATCAGTGAGGGCAGCCATATTCAAATTTTTTGGTTGTAGTTTGTATTTTCAGTAACTAAGTCATCTCGAAAAGAAGCCTTATAAGCAAGAAGAGCACCTCCTACCCCCCGGCCCCCATGCTGCCCATGGTCAATGCGACAACACAGAACACTTACTTCCAGCAGCACCCTGGGGGCTGAAACGCACCCCATGGTGCAGCCCTGGGTGTTCTGGCTGTAGGAGGTCGTTATCTAAATAACCAACTCCTCATCCCTGAGAGGACCCAGGAAAGTCCAAAGCCAGCTTGTGGCAGACGATCAGTGCCCACTGACCCAAAGGAGTGTGAGTGACGGAGCTAAAAAAGCAAGTTTTCCTGAAATACCACAGAAGAGGCTGCAAGAGGAAACCGCATTCCATTCAACCTAAATGATGCTCCCCACCCCTCAAATGATCCGCAAATTATAAGCCTTACTCCTCTCCCAGCTGAAGCACCACCGGTTCCCACCAGTGAAGAAAAGGTAGGTACACAATATGCACTCAGCGCTGGTGCTGGGTCGGGCAAAACTGACTCTCCACCTGTTTATGTAAATTGAGTCTTTAACCAACACAGCCACACTCATGCATCAACATGTCTGTGGCAGCTTCCACATTATAATGGCCCAACCCAGTGGGATATCTGCAAGACCAGATGGCCCTCCAAGCCTAATATATGTACCATGTGGCCTTTACAAAAGTTTGCTGACCCCTGTTTCTATGAGAGGAACACTGGCTAGGAAGTCAGAGACCTACATGTACATCCCTGCTCCGTAATCACAAGTAGAAATTACCTCATAGTTCTCGGTGCTTACAGTTACTTCATGTCTAAAATTAGGATGCTACCATCTACCTGGAAGGGGTGTTATGAAGAGTAAATGAGACATTAAATGTATACAGTATTAAATAAGCAAGAAATAGTAGCTATTGAACTGCAATCAAAACCAAATACAAATCTGTGTACCATGTTAAGACATACTCAAATGTAAAAAAGAGAAAAATTCTCCAATGTAAAGTAATTCAAGCTCCAGCCAATGATGTTTTAAACAAGACCTTGTGCTGGCATTCAACAACACTTCCTGTTAGGAAAACGAGTAACAATTCCAAGCACTGTTGTTTTGGGAAGCCAAAAATTTCTTCCCTTTTCTCTTCTTTTTAGTCCTTAATTTAAAAACTTTTTTTTCCAAGAAGCCAAGCTTCAAAGTATTGTTCAACATTATAGTGAATCCCTTTGATCTGTAATATGTGAAACATCAAATAAAATCTAAAACAGAGGAGGACATAGCTCAGTGGTAGAGTGCGTGCTTAGCAAGCATGAGGTACTGGGTTCAATCCCCAGTACCTCTATGTAAATAAATAACCTAATTTCCCTGCCTCCCTCCAAAAACTGGGGGGAAAAACCCTAAAATGTACCCCAGGCTCTGAATAAGAAATCTTGATCTATGATTAAGGGGGAAAACAGGTGTGGTCCTTAAAAGACAAGTCTCCAAAACTGAGCAGAGCAAAAGGACCTGCGAGCAGCCTCTTGAGTCCTGAGCCCCTCGGAGCCTGTGCAGCAAGCAGGCTCTGGGCCCCAGGGGCGGGCAGCACACAGCAAGAGCTCAGAGCATGGAGCTCGGCGAGATGAGAACCCAGACCTGCCTGCAAAGCTACCTGTATGAAGCCCTACAAGGTATCTGAGCGTCATCCAGTCACAAGGACCGGTAAGGTGACTTGTTCAAACTACATGCAAGAGGTAGCAGACCTTGTCTTCCTGTCTTTCCTTCCCACCCAGCTACCTTTCTTAGAAACCATTTCATAAAAGGTCAAGTCTAAATCTCTGACTCCTTTGTGACGCTCCAACTGTTATTATTAAAAAACTACCCAGTCGTCAGATTCCTCCAACGTTCCAAGTTCCGACTTCCTTCATCCACGCGTCTCTCTACTGGCGCCCACCCTACACTGCACCACCTGCTGTGCCAGAGCCCGCCCCCAGACCCTGAGCACCTCGAAGACACAGCCAGTCTTGTGATGACTGCTAGTGTCTGAATGCCTGGGACACGTAGGCAGTGATGACTGCACACAATCTCACTGAGCCCTTACAGTGCAGCAAACTGTGGGTTACTTACTCAGCATCCAAGTTTTACCTCAGTCCCACCCCCGTCCCCACGGGAGTTTGCTACTGCTCGAGTTTCCCTCCTTCTCGTGGCCACATGCTTCCTTCAGGGGAGGCTGGAACACGAGATTAAGCATGACAGCTGAAAGCCACCACGGACACCAGTCTGTTTTACAGCAATGCTGCGGTGGACGTGCAAAGCCATCCTGGCCACTGTGACGTAAAAAAGACCTGCTGGGAAGCTTCTGAGAAGCTGGAAGGAACAGGTATACCCTTTTCTTCCCCGACACTGCCTTAACCATGCGGACTTCCCAAATGCTGAAAAAAAAGGATGCAACCTCCTCATAGTAACTGCAGGTGAGCTGACTCAGCGTTACTCTCAACCAGAAGCACCCTGACACGCAGAGTTCCGTGCAGCCGGACGGAACACACACAGACAAGGTGATGTCCCAGGCCTCCAAACGCAACAGCTGTCACCTCTCCCTGTGGAAACACTGCACTGTCCAGCACCTGTACCTGGCACACAGGAAGCACTTACTACCTTCTGATAAATGAATAAACAGATGAATGAAATAGATAAAATTTAAGCTCAGCTTTCAAAGACAATTAGGGTAAATTCTATGTCCCGTTGGTCTTTGGAATCTGAAGCATCACCTCCAGGCATCACACAAGCCACAGAAGAGTCCTTGGCAGCCCACACTACTTCTGGCCAGTGGTGCCTGGGCCGACTTCAAACAGTGACCCAAAGTGAAACGCCAGTTCCATCCCCCAGAGAAAACTCTTGAAGGGCCACTCACCAAGGTCCCCTGACCCATTCACTGCAAGACACAACATTCACTTTAACTTCAAGGCTGCAAATGCCTGTAAACTCTCCAACACAAAAGCACCTCTTTATCTATTCACTCGGCCTTCACTCAAGAGTGCTAAAGGACCAGGATTTTTTGATCTCCAACAAAAATCAAAGAAAACTCTTACTTGCTAGAGAATGAAACATCCAAAAAGCCACAAGATGACCCAGTGTCTTACTGGAAGTGAAGGAAATCATGCTGACTGCTCACAAAGAGTTTTCTGAGGCCCAAGTGTGATGCACCAGGGCAGCCCAGCCACCTCTAAGAGCGCCTTCTAAAGCACGCTTACCTTGTAGTTGCTAGAGTTCACCCAAGAGGTAGCGAGTCCGTCCACAAGTTTATCTAACAAGGTCTGGTCGTGCTCAAGGTCAGCAGACCTCTGTCGGTCTGAAAAGTGGTCTATAAGTTCTTGGCCGACCTGCAGCCGTTTCCCCACGTCCTTCTGCAACACCTGTGCCAGGCAGGACTCCATGCGGAGCTCCATGGTGGAACTCGAATCCAGGTGCAGCCAAAGCTAGAGGGCAGTCAGGGTGACACCCTTGCTGTACACGTGCCCGGAGGTCGCCTCTTTGTTTGCTGTAGGTTCCTGAGAGCCCTGCGTCAAAGATGCAATCCGGGGAATGGCAGCAATGCACCATGTGTGTCTGAAGAGCAGCTGGCAGGATATTAAAAGTCCAACTTAAATAACTAGTAAGAGACGGAGGAGCGGGCAGCAGAGCGGTGTCCCACGACCGGGTCTGAAGTCCTTCATCATCCAGCAGTCCGTCCTGAAGAGTGGGAGAGAACAGCACATCAGCACAGGTAACCACACACTCCCATGTTCTGAGACACTGAGTCCAAGACAAAGCAGTTCACGCTGCGGCATCACTTGTATTTATAGTCACAAGTGGCGTGAGAGCATGAACGCTTGGCACCGTATCAGAATAACGTAATTATTATTTTTATCAGGAAGAACATCGAAGCCCAAAGCAAAGAGTCACTGAGTGTCACAGTTGGTCGGTTGATGTTTTTCTCAAATTTCCAGCTTGTAAATGCGCCAGTCAGGAGAGCAATCTTCTGCTTTAGCTAGAATATTTACTTGTAGCTTACACTTTGCCTCCCACCGAAAAGCTAACCGCGCTGTGTCTGAATCATGTAGGCTCTGGAGCTCTCTGCCTTACTCTCAGGGTCCTCAAGAACCCCGTGCCGGAAGTGAGGTGGGCCCACAGAGACACCCCTGACCAAGGTGGCGTCGGGTAACGGTAACCACAAGTCAAAGGCAGCACCGAAATTAAGCTTCCCGAGCAGCGGCTGCACAACAGGGTGAGGGGGCAGGGGTCCCTGCCGCCTCCTCCAAAGAAAGGAGTGACAGAGGGAGAAAAGGAACCAGGCTCACACTCTGCTCAGTGACACGGGTTCTCCACTGACAACAGCACCACTTGGGCCTGCTGTTCTGTTACAAAATCAGGAGGCCTTAAAATCATGTCTGTGGCAGCACAAAACATAAGACATGGGAGAAGAAACCACTTTCATCACACAAATCTAACAGGCTGATCATCCCACCTACAGCTGCTGGAGCAATCGCACACATTTATTTTTTCCATTTCTTATCTCAATTCCTTTCATGCTGACCCAAGAAGACTCACAGAATACCTGTCTTCAAGATGCCGCACCTCTGTGACATCGTACTAAATAGAAATGGTCCTCACGCCAACAGGAAATCTGAACTCCTGAGTCAACCAAGATTATAATTCAGTGCAGGGTAGCTCTTCATCTTAGCACAGCGGTTCTCTGCCCTCCCAGCACCACCCCACCACCCTCCACAAGACAGTGCCACGCTCTTCCCAAGTTCTAATGAGAGACTTCTAACCCCAACAGGAATCACGTCAGTCAAGTCCCTCAGAAGGGAACCTTCCTTCAAAGCCCTGGCACATGGCCACCCAACTCCACTCCCCCTCCAGGACAGCGACCACTCACCAGCTCACGCAGCTGTCCCTTCTTGTGTGGGAGTGAGATCTGCTTTCCAGTCATTTCCATACCCTGGAGCTAGCCCCTCCCTCATGAGAAAGACCCTCAAACACACAAAAGCAGCTATCACCCTTCACTTCAAATTTTAGTCCAAACAAAATATCCCAGGGTCTTAATCAGGGCCTCTGCCTGGCTAAGGAAGGTGCCAGTGATACAGGAAAACCAGAGGACCAACAGAACGTTTTCCTTCTGGGCCCAATAGTAGCCCAAGAAGCAGATGAACAATATCCAGCTGTAGTAGATTAAAAATGGCCACCGACTCTTTACTTCTCCGCCCCCACCAAGGTAGGTCTCAGCCCCCAACCCCCAAGAAATCAGCCATGGCAGAAGCCTGGCTCCTGGAGTGCTGGCCTGGGCCACACCACGGTTGGGGAGCTGATGGCGCACCCCTGATGTGACACGAGAGGCCGCCGCACGCAAGACGTGTGCATGGACCCACTGGGGTCCACTCACCCTCTCACGTACAAGGAGACGGTGGAAAACCACCCAGTAAAACCACAGGAGTATGAGAAACAATTCACTGTTGCTCGAAGCCACCAGGTTGGTGGTGGTTTGTTCCACACTGAGAGGTAACTGACCCACTCCCTCCCTAAGCACCGATAGTCCATTCTCAGGGAGGAGAACCCACACCCTTTATTCCTTCAAGTCCACACTGATCTGTGATGGTGGTAACAACGCCACTTCCAAGCATCACCATGTGGTGCCTGGTTCTATGTTAAATGATCCACATACACATCTCTAATTCCCCAAGCAACTCTGTAGAGTCACTGCTGACGTGCTCAGCGGACAGAGGACAAGCTGAGGTAACGAGAAGGTTGCCCGGCCTAGACGTTTCCCCTCCCCACCTCCAACCCTCGTGAGTACCAGGCCGGCCTAGTTCTGTTCTGACTCAGGGAAAGGAGGTCAGACTTCATGCTTAGCTAAAAACGACTTCAGACAGTAACATAATTATACAAAGCCTTCAGAAAACTCAGAAAATAAACAAACAGGAGGAGGAAGCGGAGGGGCACTTGGGGGACTTGGAGAAGGAAGAGGAAGGCTTGGAGGAGGAACAGGAGTAAACCTCTTCCCTCCACCCACATCCTGCCCAGGTCCCCTCCTGGGGGGGGGGGTGACATGGACACTGAGGCCTGAGGTCCCCTGGAGCCTGTGGCCACCGAGTGTACCCGCAGCTGAGCCAAATGCAAGCCAGGTCTGCGGTGAGCGAGCAGTACTGGACGGCGCTGGGCCACAGGACACACAGGACTCAGTCCTCCCAGGAGCCTCCCACCCTCCTGGGAGCCAGTCCCCAGAGGGGCCCACACCCAGAGCCACCTGATGGTAGGGTGATGTCAGAAGTCACTCAGAATGGAATGCTAGTTCGTAGTTTAAAAAAAAGTTCAGCTTCCACATATTTTGCCAAAATAATAAAAGAAATGTAAAAATGACAGAAAGGAAAAGGCAGGTAAGTTTCGAGTAGCGAAGCACCTTTTCTCTCCTCATTTACGTGGGGTAAATTCTTCTTCTTAAGTGCTCTATTTTAGCAAAATTCACTATGAAAGCTACAGGGCACACTAAATGTTACTGTATCAGTCACCTGGAAAAAGGGCACATTTCCAGTATTTCTGGAAAACGCCCCACTGCTCTCAAACTTCGTCAGGCCCTTCCATCGCTCCCTGCCACCTGGACCTGGTCTCTAGGACAAAGCAACAGTAGGTCGAGACGATGGTCCTTCGGCCACTCTCCTTCATAGCACCCTGGAAGGCAGAAGTTAGCAGAGTGACGTTCACCAGGACAGCCTGACCCTGCTGCAGGCCCACAGGAGGGAACTAAAAGTGCCAGGTCCCAGGAGAATGAAGAGACTCACAGTAAGAAGCCTGATGTAACCCATGCACAGAAGACGGCCTCAGTACCGACTCCGCCACTTAAGTGGAAACGGGGAAGATGCAGGCTCCGCTTACAGCAAACAAGATTAAAGGTGGGAAGGGCTTGCACAGGGCATCTTTAAAAACAGCTCCTCTCTCCCCTCACGTATAGCAACTCCTCCAGGACACCTGGGTACACAGCCACAGAGTGCTGACGACCGAGGACGGGGCAGAGAACAGAACCCACTGTAAGTGCTGAACTTCTCAGTCTACTCCACAAGACAAGGTAAAAGTAGGACCTAAAAGTAGGTCTTAGGGACTGAAAACAACAGTGAGTGAACATTTCTTATATGCCTACGGACAGGTAGGGCTCGGCTGGGGGGTCCCTTCCGCTCATCTCACCTGGGATCATGCACACAGCTGTCACCTGCCAGCCCGACTGGGGCTGAATACGCCACACGTCTGCAGTGGCAGCATTCGCACATCTGAGGCGCCGATGCCGCTGCTGGCTGGCCCTCCTGCCGCACGTAACCTCCGGTACTCAGTAACACTGTCTCCTACGCCTTCTGTGTGCTTGGAGCTTTCCAAGATGGCAAAGGGGCACATTAAAGGGCCTCTCAAAGCCTGGGATCCAGAACTTGCAAATCACTTCGGCCACATTCTTCTGGTTCAAGCAAATCACGAGATTAAAGCCAGCCCAGATTAATAGCGTGAGGAAATGGATCCTACCAATTACTAGGAGTCCCAACATATTGTAGCCATGTGTTTCCACCTAACACTTATGTATACAATGGATATTTGCAGAGTGAAGAGATGGAATGAGTAAATATATTTGTATTCTGTTTATCCATTATCTCAATTACTTTTAGTTACTCATCTTTTATCACATCTTACCACAAAAGATACAAAAGAAATAACTATACTCTATGACTTGACTTGAAAATGCTGCCAGTTTACTTGGAGAGAGTAAGATACACATACTCGCAGAAGCTTGTTAGTCTAAGAACGATATACAAACATGGGACGTACAACCAGTAGACTTCACAGGGAGAACGCTGACCACGACAAACGAGGACTATAAGTACCGCAGGAATTCAGAGACAGGATGGAGCAGGGAGGCCTGCAATGACCAAGTCAAAACTATTCAGACGAGACGCAGTCTGAGCTGTGCCCTGAAATGTGCGCAGTGCAGTGCCGTGTCCGCAGCAGACAGACAGGACGTGCACACAGGGAAGCAGAGGAGGACGGGCGTGAGTGGCTGAGGGAAGAGGTGGGTGGAGGCAGAGCGGCCGGGAGACTTGGGAGGCAGGTCAGCATTATCGCTCCCACTCTGAAGCTCAGGTAGGTCAGGCTAAAGAAACAAAAAACCCACCCTGCCCAAGATTTTAAAGCTAATAATAACTTGTCAGACAATAACTGAAAACCAAACCCGCCTGACCCCCAGGTCTGTGTACTTTCCAGTGGACCGCAATACTATGCTATGGCCGCACTGAAAAGTCCAAGGCATGGGCACTTGATAACTGAGACAGGAAAATCTCACGGAGATGCAGAATGCGGGACATGAGAAGCAGAGGGTTAAGACACAAGGAAGAAAATCACAAAGGACTCAGGGAGCCTTCATAAAATCACACTCCGTATCATGGCCTCGAGAACACAATTCAAATAGCCACATCACAAATCTCCCCAGAAGATATGTAGAAAGCAGGCGTAATACGTTACCAGCCAACTTTGGAAGCAGGAAACCAGCAGAGCTTATTCACCCTAAGTCAAAAGGAGTAGGATTCTATCACTAAGACACATTTTTTTTGCATTATAATGGTTTCTGTAATTATGATCTGGTCTGAAAATTTAAAATGATGCCCCACCAGCCCAAGTCTCTGCTCCTCCTCTACCTCCTTCCCTGTTCATCCCACTCC